CACAATCTCCTTTAAATTCTCATGTTGACTTATTATGGTTTGCCTTAGAAGCATACGAGAGTACTTAAAGGTAATTTAATTTCTTATGGTTTAATAGAGGGTTCAAAAATCATTGACAAATGAAAATGCATAATCAGAGAATGCATGAGGCGAGAGGTGAGCTATATTAATGGGACATTTGGGAATTTGGCCATAAACAATTTCAAAAGATGAAATCTTGGTTGTCCTAAAAATATTACTGCTATATGCAAATTTAGAGAAAGGTAATTGCAAGTACCAATTTCTTAAACTCTTTTCTATAATATCAATTATTAGGGCAACATCTGTACTAATGATTGAAGGCAGACCATGTAAATGTACAATTTCCTTAAGAAACAATTTAATAATGTGGGAAGTATCATTGGTTTTAAAGCATTACAAGAAATGGGTCATCTTTGAAAAACGATTATGACAAAGATGCTATCATGCCCTTGAGATGTGCGGGGTAATCCTAAGATAAAATCCATGGAGAGAACTTCCCAAGACCTATAGGCTGATAGTGCAATATATTGACCAGATTTTTGTATAATAGGTTTGGCTTATTTGTAGGTCAAGCATTGAGCTACTAATTTTTGAACATATCTCTTAATTGAAGGAAAAAAAATGGTTGTCTTTTAAATAGATGTTCTCATCCTTTACAAAGTATCCAACTATTCCTCTAGAATGCAGATCAACGATTAAAAAATTCTCTAAGTGAAGTTCTAAGGATGCAAATTTGTTTTACCTTATATAAATATCTAGTGTTAACACATATATTTTTTTTAAGAGACAAGTGTTTATTTATATTTTTCATATAAATTAGGTTAAAGTCAGGACACATATGGTACTCATATTTAAAGCGTCAACATGATTATTTTCAATTCTAGGTTTTTGCTTGAGAACAAAAGAATAATCTTGAAGAAATTCAACCCATTTAGCTTGTCTATGGCTTAACTTTTGTTGAGTATTAATGAATTTGAGGTTATGATGATCTAAGATATGAATGATCTCCTTATGTAAAAAGAAATGGTGCTAGTCTCTAAAGGACTGAATGATAACATAAAAGTCGTTATCATATGTTGAATGTCATTGTTTACATTCATTCAATTTCTCTATAAAGAAAGCTATCGTGTGATTTTATTGACTTAAAATTCCACCAATGCCAATCCTAAAAGCATCACAAGTTACCTTAAAAGCTTTAAAAAATCAGACAGCTTAAGTATAGGGGTAGAGGACAAATATTTTTATGCTGCAGAAGTCTAATAAAATTTCTTTTATTTCAAAATATCAATTATTGGAGCAAAAATTGTACTAAAGCCTTTAATGAATCTTCTACAAAAAGTACCTAGACCATGAAAACTGTGCACTTCAATGAAAATTTTAGGTGAGGGATGACACGTCTTAAAATGTGCTATTTTTATATATACATTTTATACTCATTTTTAAGGGTATTGCGCTTTACTGGAAGATATTATGTGTGTTTTTGATTTCAGGTACAAGAGATGGAGTTTAAGAGAAAAATGAGCAAAAATGGAGCAAAATAGGGTCAAATGGAGTAAATGAGCACAAAGTGACCCGACATCTAAGCGTCAAGATCTGGTGCCTAGGCGCCAGGTAGTTAAAATAGACTTTTAGAAGGTTGGCGCCTAGGCGTCAGAAAAGGTTCAGACTTTTGTGTAATGAATTTGGATAAATTTTGAAGGGGGTGCTTGAAGTGACTTTTGGTGATTTTAAGAGCTTTATTTAAAGAAAAGATTGGCTGGGTGAAATGGGGCTTTGGAGGGCTTGGTTAGTGATGGAAACTTTTAGGAGGTGGCGTGAGGCTCTCTCGTGTGTGTGTTGTGTGAGTTGTGAGTGAGAGACCTTTTGTGAGTGTTTTTGTGTGTATAAGGAGAGTAAGAAGTCATCAAATGAACTTCAAAGGGCTTGCTTGGGGAGAAGTCTCAAATAAATACTTTGTATTTTTGTTTGAGTTTTGTTTTACTATGCAAACTTGGATTTTAATATAAATCATGTTTAGTTGTGTTATCCCCATGAAGTTTTACTATATCTTTCTCCTTGCAATAAGAAGTAATCATGTGTAGGATTAGAATTGTTTAAGATTTCTCTTATTCCATACTTGTGATTATTCCAAATGACGAACACATCACATCATAACATTGATAATCAAACTGTTGCAAATGAACATCATGTACAACGATCTTTAAGGGACTATGCAACCCCTACAACAAATGAAATTCATTTGAGCATACAAACCCTGTTGTAAGGGCTAACTCATTTGAACTAAAACCCGCTATAATCCAAATTGTATAAAATAATCAGTTTGGAGGAACACTATCTGAAGATCCAAACTTGCACCTTACTAGTTTTCTAGAACTGTATGCTACATTTAAGTACAACGACATATCAAATGATGCTATTAGGCTAGACTTTTTCCTTTTTCCTTGATGAATAAAACTAAGTTATTGTTAAGTTCATTAACACATGGATCTATCAGAACTTGAGGAGATTTAACACACATTCTTGGCTAAGTATTTTTTAACTTCAAAAACTGCTAAGCTTAAAAATGATATTATCTCTTTTACTCAGTATGAATGTGAGTCAATATATGAAGCCTGAGAACGATTTAAAGAACTTTTTAGGAAGTGTCCACATTATGCTTTGCCAGACTGGTTAATTATTTAAACATTTTATAATGGGTTAATAGGATCCCGTATATCTATTATTGACGCTGCTACTGGAGGTTTAGTAATGTCAAAACCATTTGATGAAGCTTATGAATTAAAAGAAGAGATGACTACTAATAACTTTCAATGACCATCTCAAAGGGTAAATCCTAAGAAAGTAGCCAATGTTCATGATAATGATGCAATTTCCATTTTTTTATCGCAAGTTGCTGCAATATCTAAAAAGTTAGTTCAATTTGGAATGATTTTACTTCAAACACCGCAAGTGAGCGAGGATAATTCACTGGGACAATTGCTTGATTCTCAACCTTCATATGAGACTTTAAATGCAATTAATAATAGACGCAATAACCTATATTCTAACTATTATAACTCAGATTGGAAAAAAAACAAAATAACTTTAACTGGAATAATAATTATGGTGGTGGAAATCAACAATGGAGGAACAACCAAGCAAACCCATTGGAAAACTGGAACAACCATGGTAATGCTAACTATACACTTTCTTATCATCTTGACTTTACAAATAACCAACAAATTAAGAAGAAGAGGTTGTCTATAGAAGAAATGATGTTATAAATGGAGAATCAATTACAAGATTATAGTGTTGCAATAAGAAATATTGAAAATCAATTGGGACAAATTGCTCACTCACTCAACAACATCACTCATAAAATACTTTCTAATAACACTGAAGTTAATCCTAAAGATAAAAACAAAGAGGAAGTTATAGCAGTCAAGTTGAAAAGTGGTAGAGAATTGGAGACTAAAGTGTAAAAAGAAATTGAAGTTGAGAGAGAAATTGAAGAAACTAAAAAATATGAAGAAAATATTGCTAACGAGATATAAAAACCTACCTCTTCAACAATGATCAATTTAGAAAAACCAGCACCGTCATTTCCTCAGAGACTTAGACAATAAAAGTCTGATATACAATTTTCTAAGTTTCTGGAGATACTTAAAAAAATTAAAAATTTTCTAAATTTTTGACCATCTTTTGGAAACTAAATAACTAAGATACCATAAAAAGAAATATAAAAAATATTAAATATATCATTAATGACCTAAATTTTAAATATAACAAGTTAAACATCCAAAATGTTCACTCAAAATCTTCCTAAGTGGGTTTAAGAGGGTGATTTTAGTAAAAAAAATAGTTAGAACAATATATTTAAATTATGTGTGGTTAAATTATTATCTTTAATGTTTTAAATGATTGACCCATAAAAACTTCTACATTTAAATTCCCGTGAATCACATTTCTTCTAATTGAGTTGGCATTTTTTTTTGGAGGATAACAATAATAATAAGGAATATTTACATGCATACCACTCAACTTTTACATATTTATATATTTAATTCCTAAACTTTAATTTATATGTATATAGTTAAAATAATGATATTGTTGTTACATGAAAGATTTGAGGGTTATAAAGTTAAAAAGTAAAGTTTATATGTTAGATATGTAAATACATAAGAATTGAGTGGTATGTTTGTAAATAATAGGTCTATGGCTAGGGCCGTGAATTATGGAATATGTCTATGGCTAGGACTGCGAATTTAGCTCGTTCGCTTGGAAATTGATTCAAATATTGGCTCGAATCGACATCGGACCAAAATAAATGAAATGAGCTACGAGCCACAATTTTGGATCGAGGTGACCCCTATCAATTCAAAATTGAATTATTAACAACTCTATTCATGTCAAGGCTAGAAATTTAACAAATTTAGCGAAAAAATCGTTAATCATTTGAAATTTGATCTGAATTTTAGCTCAAATCAAGATCAGATCGAAGCTACGAACCTAACTTTTGAATTGGATTTTTTTTAAGCCGACTCCAACTCGACTAGGAATCAAATCTTTAACAATTCAAGCTATGCCTGACGAAAAAAATTTACGTACGTAAGATATACACAGTGCTGTGTACGTCAGAGATATTATTTAGAGGGTATTTGGGGGTTATATCCGCGTTATACCCCCTGTAACCTCCCTGTAAACTATCTGTAACCTACAAATATATGAAAATAGAAACACGAACCTTATTATAATGTAGATATAGGTTATAGGTAAGTTACATAAAATTTACAAGAATATAACACATATATAACGCTCCAGTAATCCCTGAATAACCTTGCTCACATGGTATCTGTGTGAGAAAATTCTGTATGAATGATTAAAAAAAAAACCATGTAAAATAATGATGACTCACCATTTGTTAGGCTTCAAGCAAAGGAACACTTTCTTCTTAATTTCGGCAATCTTTGCTTCCGGAGATTTGAACCGCCTTCACCAAGCTTTCTCGTCGTTTTCTTCTTCGTTATATTCGCACATCTTATGAACCAGAGCTGATAAATTCGTTTAATGGGGAAGAGGTCGTCGCCCCCATCGGAGATCGAGGTTAGGGTCCAGCCGAGGATTGGAGACAACACCATCCATCCCTTAGAGATGGGCTCTGCAGCGCCGTATCGGCAACCGTCTGAGGCGGAGGCGGGGAATTATTCCGGCGAGGTCATGCCGTTCCGGCGGTGGAGGCCGTGGATGGTGCCGGCTTTTGTTCTGGTGAATATCTTCCTGTTCGCGATCACGATGTTTGTGAACGACTGCCCTAAAAAGTCGTCATCGTGTGTTGCTTCCTTCCTCGGAAGATTCTCCTTCCAGCCCGTGAGGGAGAATCCCCTCCTCGGGCCTTCGTCAAATACGTGAGTGGTTCTTGATGTTTCTTAGAATGATATCCCTTTGATTTCTTAAGTTTTTTTTTTTTTTTTATATTGTTTGTGGATTGGATTTTGGGTATTCAGGGTTGTATGGTTTGTGGAGCTGCGAAGTGTCATCCTGTTGTATTTCAGTAAAATTTCTTAAGTTTTTTTTTATAATATTGTTTGTGGATTGGATTTTGTGTATTCAGGGTTGTATGGTTTGCGGAGCTGCGAAGTGTCATCCTGTTGTATTTCAGTAATATCAATTAAGTTCGAATATGCACAGTCTTATGATTTCTTGGAGAATTGAGTGGATTGACAAGGTTTGAGGACATGACATTTTAGGACATTAGATTGATTGCCTTGGTCGAAACGTTGTGTGAATGAGTTTCGGTTAACTTTTTATTTTTGATTTACCAATTCGGAAGTGAGTCCTGATGGATTTCCTCTTGCTTTTCTTGCGATTTGGCTGAATAATGATTGAATATGTCTAAGGAGACAGATTTCCTTAACTGGTAATCCATTATTTTCTTCAGGATGCTATTATGGGTTGCAGATAGAGATCCTAGTTCTTTACTCCAAATGCTTTGAGTCTTGGATAGTCTTGGATAGAAACTTATCTAGATGCATTGATGGATCATAGGATGCCTTATGAAAACCATATGAGTATTAATTCATGGAATAGGGAATTCTCCACATCCAATTTTGCACTTGACATAAAATTAATCCACAAACCTAGAATATGCTGCTAATCTAGATTTAGGGCTCGTTTGGCGCTGCATTTTTCTCGCAGCGTGGACTGAAAATGCAAAAACACCCATTTGGTTATCATGTCGCGACGACGATTTAAAAATTTTCATTAAAATGTGGCCGCATGTTCGACCCCACAACCCGCGTTTTTCCTCTCTCGACCGCGAGCGTATTTATCCCGCGGCCCCTCTGCTCGTGTTACCCCTCTCTCTCGTCACTGCTCCGTCACCCGCGATTCTTCTACCCTAAGTAGATACCTCCAGTGGATCTGTGGCCCCAGTGGCTATTTTCGGTTGTTAGTGAGTATTCCGACGACCCTTACATTCCTGTCCCTCTCCGGCTCTTTTCCTCTACTCAAATTTTGATGGTTTGTGCACTCTGTGCCTTGTGTGGTCGGTTTGATATATAATTTGAGGTGGTGGTTATTCTGTTGAGTTGTGTATTCTCTCATCCCCTCTCCCTTTTCTTCTTCCATTTGAGGTGGTGGTTATTCTGTTGAGGTGTGTATTCTCTCATCCCCTCTCCCTTTTCTTCTTCGGCTCGGTTTGGTGGTTGTGTAGTGTTCTCTCTTCTTGATGTCTTCTTTGTTCTTCACCTCTCTTCTCTCTTCTTTGTGTAGCTGTGTGCACTATGCTAGTTTGTTTCATCTCTTAGCTCGGTTTTGGTGTTCTTTGTCTTTTAATTTTTTGTGGTTTTCGATTTGATATTTTCGGTTATGTGGTTTTGATGTTTTGCGGTGATCTTTGGATTTTTGGTGGTTTACCTTGTCAACAATGTTTCAGGTCCCAATGTATGTGGTATGTTCAATTTCTTTTGGTGCTCATGCTATGGGCAATTAGGATATCTTTATGAACTTTTATATTTCGGTGGAGAATTTGAAAATTTGATGAAATTTAGTGCTGGAATTTTTTGTGGTTTTTAGTTTGATTGGTGCTTTGCGGTGATCTTTGGATTTTTGGTGCTTTGCTATTTAGCAATGCTTCAAGTCCCTATATGTTGTTTGTTCGATTTCTTTTGGAGCTTATGCTATGGAGAATTCAAATATTTTTATGAACTTTGATATTTCAGTGGGGAATTTGAAAATTGGATGGAATTTGGTGCTAGAATTCAATGCTGGAATTCGGTGTTGAAATATTGGCTTGGATGTGTTGGTGTGGTTTGTGGTGTGTTGTGTTTTGTGGTGTGGAGGTTGTAGCGTGATGTGATTTTTGGTGTGGAGGTTGTGGTAATGTGTGGTTTGTGGTTTGGTTTGTGGATGTGTTGTGTGATTTGGAGTTTGTGGTTTGTGGATGTGTGAATGTGTTGGTGTGGTGTGGTGTGGAGGTGATGGTGTGATGTGGTGTGGTTTATGGATGTGTTGGCGTGTGGTTTAGAGTGCGTGGTGTGGTGTGTGGATGTGTTGGTGTGGTTTGTGGTGTGGAGGTTGTGGTTTGGAGGTTGTGGTGTGGGGTGGTTTGTGGTGAGGAGATTGTGGTGTGGTGTGTGAGGTTGTGGTTTAGAGGTTGTGCTGTGGAGTGGAGGTTGTGGTGTGGTGTGGTTTGGTTTTGTGTTGGTGAGTGGTTTTGAGTTTGTGGTTTGGTGTGTGGATGTGTTGGTGTGGTGTGTGGATATGTTAGTATAGTGATGTGGAGGTTGTGGTGTGGTGTGGTTTGTGGTGAGGAGATTGTGGTGTGGTGTGGTAGGTTGTGGTTTAGAGGTTGTGCTGTGGAGTGGAGGTTGTGGTGTGGTGTGGTTTGGTTTTGTGTTGGTGAGTGGTTTTGAGTTTGTGGTTTGGTGTGTGGATGTGTTGGTGTGGTGTGTGGATATGTTAGTATAGTGATGTGGAGGTTGTGGTGTGGTGTGGTTTGTGGTGAGGAGATTGTGGTGTGGTGTGGTGTGGTGTGTGGTGTGGAGGTTGTGGTTTGGAGGCTGTGGTGTGGTTTGTGGTGAGAAGATTGTAGTGTGTTATGGTTCGTGGATGTGTTTGTGTGTGGCTTGGAGTTTGTGGTGTGTGGATGTGTTGGTGTGGGTTTGTCGGTGTGGTGGTGTTGAGTGGATGTGTTGGTGTGGTGTGGAGGTGGTGTATGAGATTTGTGTGGTGTGTGGTGTGGAGGTGGTGGTGCAAGGTGATTGTGTATTGAGGAGGTGGTGGTGTGGTTTGTGGATATGTTGATTTGTGGCTTGGAAGTTGTGGCGATAATATTGTGACCTTACGATTTTTCTTTGTTTTTGGATATTGTTGCATTTTTGTTTATGTTAATTAGGTTTTTCATCCCAATAATACAATGGTTAAGGCCAAGAGGCTGATTCACCCGCAATGTGGGACAAAGAAACAAAAGTAATATTTTGTGATTTTTGTCTTAAGGAGATCAATCTGAGAAATAGACTTACAACTTATTTCAATAATGAAGAGTGAGAAAATATTATAAAAAAATTCAAGAAAAGTACAAACAGAGAATATGATAGGACCAATTAAAAAATAAGTAGGATCAGCTTAAGAACTGAAAGATATTGAAATGAAGGTCAACGGGCTTGGAGTGAGATCTAGTGAAGCTAACGATTGATTCGTGTGGCCTGTTAGTCGATGTTGGTTGGTATCACATTTGAAACCTAACAAAGACAACCAAGTAATATTTTGTGACTTTTGTCTCAAGGAGATCAATCTGTGAAATAGACGTACGACTTATTTCAACAATCTGTGAAATAGACGTAAAACTTATTTTAACAGTGAATGGTGACAAAATATTATCAAAAAATTCAAGAAAAGTACAAACAGAGAGTATGATAGGATCAATTAAAAAACAAGTAGGATCAGCTCAAGTACTGAAAGAAATTGAAATGAAGGTCAACGGACTTGGAGTGGGATCTGGTGAAACTAACGATTGATTGGAAGACAATCGGGTTCTTTTTTTTTCGGTGCTGCGATTTTTGAGATTTTTCTGACTGACCTTTTTTGGTGATATGTATATGTGATACACACGAGTTTAGTATTACGTGTGTTAAATGCAACCAAGAATCTTTTTTAAAAGGTCTGTTGTCCTCTTGTAGTGACAGATTCATTGGTTGATATACCGAGTTCTCTGAGACTTCATGCCTGCACAAAACTATAATTAATTATTTATTTTATCAATTTCAACTTGTGTTATGACTAATGAATTTTCTTTTAAAACATTCAAGAAAGGTGGGTTTGAGGATTTATGATACCTCTCTAGGATTGTTGTGCCCCTGTGGACTTCAGAGTTTCCCGCTGACGTCACGTCAGCCACATAGCTACGGGAGACAGTTCTACAAGTGCCCGCGAATAATCACGAAGAGCCATGACTTTTTCCGGTGGGCGGATATGTTGGAAAATTCCACCGCCGAGAATGATCGAGCATGGAGAGCATATTTAGAGAAAGACCTAGCTCATGACATAAGCTCTGTATTTTAAAAATAATATTATCATATTATTAAATATTATTTAATAATTTTTTTCTTTATTTTAATAATCATGATACTCGCTGTTAAGTGAGATTCACATCTTATTTTATGTAATATTTTGAAGTGAATTTTTACTTCTAAAATATCAAATATATTGCTATGGTATTTCTGCTGCAAACAATATTACTATACATGGACAGAACGATCATTTGTCCAGAAACAGTTATGGCACAGTTGTTTTCAAATTGCAAAAAACAAACCCTCAATCAGATTATTCGCAACAGCTTCTGCGCAACAGTTTCTTGTGACAGTTGCAACTTAATAATAAACTGTCGTGCAACAGTTGTTAAGCTGTTATGCAATGCCAAGCCGCGGTGCAAAAATTGTTGTTGATAGGTTGACTGTCTGTTTATTTTTGCAATTTGAAAATAACTGCGCTGCAGCTGTTTCTGAATAAATGACCATTCTGCCCCTGTATAGTAATGTTGTTTGCAACAAAACAATTTATACTAACACATTTTATACTTTAAAAACAAATATCCAGTGCACAATATTACAAAATAAAGATAGACACATCACTTAACAATGACTAACATGACTGCCAAAAATTAAGAAACAGACTTTTAAACCAACAATTAATATTATGATAATATTATTTTTAAAATGTAGATGGTATATGTTATGAGCTAAGACGTCCTCCATGGATGCTCTTCATGTCTAATCACTCTTGGTGGTGAAAATTTAGCCTATCTGCCCACTGAAAATAGTCACAGTTTTTCGTGATTCTCCGTGAGCACTAGTGAAATTGTCTCCCGTAACTATGTGGTTGATGTGAAGTGAGGAGACAACATTGA